GAACTTTATCCGGGCATGCGTCAATAATAAAGCTCGGAAATCGGATAAATGCCGGTGGCTATTCTTCAGGTACTCCTCTCCTATTTTGTCCATTACCTTTCCAAATCTGGTGTAACTTTTCTGATATTTGCCAAGGATCAAAGCTTCAAATGTTTGGACGTCTCGTTTGCAGAGTTCCGTTTTCAGGATTCCGTCTTCAGAGATAACATTCGGTGAGAAACGTGAGATAACGTTCAGTGAAAAACTTATGTTGTCGTCATTGATGACGTGGACATTGGGCAGGAGTCGGTTTGCGACATTGAAAAAGCTGGAGTTGACGCGGGAAAGCTGCTTGACGAGTTGCTTGCGGGGAAAGCAGTGGAGGATGTGGATGAGGGTTTCTGGTGGGAGGATACTGAAAACCAATGATTACTGTTAGACAAGCTCAGAGCTGATTATGGACATCATCACGGTATTATTGACCTTCGTCATGCCCTTATAAGGGTTGTTTGTCCTAGATTCGCGAGATTGGGGAGGGTTAATGGGGACATAATGTTGGGTATTGTGCCATGGCTAGAGAACGGTTAGAGATAGATGGGAATGTGAGAAATAACACTGTTATCCAACATTCTGTTTGTCCAAGTTCTGGTGAAAGGACACTGAAAGATACAAAGTATCGATTGAATTTCCGAATGACGCACGGCTGCGCCTATGGAGAAAATGACCAAAATATTGTACAATATGCCCTACAAATGCACTTCGCAAGCAATTTTTACTAGGCTGACAGAAAGTTTGACTTGCAAGGGAAACCTCGCCATTTTTGTGCTATCTTTTATAATACTGCCCAGGTTAAGAAGATGGCTGGCTCATCCGTCGTCGGGGGTGCACTATTTCGGTTTTCAGAATCACCTGGACCACACACGACGCTCAAAATAAAAGTGTCCGCGTCGCTTATCCGTATTTTTTCGCTTAGACAGTGCCAAAAAGTGTAATATTTGGATTCACCACAAAATTTTGGTCGGATAGTGATTTCTTGACGCAGGTACTCTCCCACATGGATCGTAACGGGACCGCATAAAAAATTAGCTATTTTTTGCCAGAACCTCCAAAAAATACCTATCCTGTCCAGAAAGTCGTAGGAAAACCGAATCTGTCCCAGGACACTATCTCAATTTTTTAGGTTTTAGGCTTAGCTTTAGGATTAACGCTAACGGACAGTTATCAATCTTAAAAATTCCTTCAGAAAAATGATCCCTTTGATGCACCTCTGTATCGGCGAAACACGGAAAGGGCCCCGGACAAACATCCAAGGCTTCACTTGTGGCTTAGGGGATTAGAAGAAGAAAAAGACAATCTACCGACTGCACACTTTAATCCCGGGGAGGTGGGGGTAAACTACAGTGGCCCCTCCAAAACTTTATATTAAACTCCAACTATATATCAATTTTTTATTAAATTTCTTCAGTTATGGCCATGTGACAAAAGGTGAGAAGATTCACGGAGTAAATCTGGGTAATGCAAAACAGGGTAATGCCTTAGTTGTAATGCCTTATAAGGGTTGTTCGGGAGCTTAAGTCTAAGATTAAGTCCCTTAGGCCCCATATTGTTCGGGGCCCAAGCCTAAATCCTTGTTTGGCGCCTTATAAGGGTTGTTCGGGAGCTTAAGCCTAAGATTAAGTCCCACTTTAGCCCCAGATTGTTCGAGCCGCAAGCCTAAATCCTTCAGTATGCCCTTATAAGGGTTGTTCGCGCATTTTAAGCCATTACTCAAAGCTTAAACTGAAGTCTAGACTTAGTTATGAGCCATTATGCGTTGTTTTATATATGGGGGAACCGTCGGGGGGAAACGTCCGGGGGGGGGGGAAACATCCGGGAGGGGAAACGTCCGGAGAGAAACCTCCGGGGGGTTAAATATCCTAGAGTGGGGAACCGTCGGGGGGAAACAGCCATCCCCCGTTACTCTTCATGATGGTGGAGAATTGTTTAATTAGATACAGTTATAAATTTCTTTGATTTGTTATAACTCGATGCGTTGTCCTGCAAATAACAACAGAAAACAGTAAAAGGACCAAAATTTTGAATTTCTGGCCTTTACGGGCTTTTTAGAGTGAAATTTGCGATGTGGGGTCAAACGTACCCGAGGGTCAAACGACGGGGGTCAAACGAAGGGGGCAAACGGCGGGTGTCAATCGCAGGGAGCCGCTGGTCGAAATAGCTTCTCTCCATGTAAATTGCAAGGAAGCTCGGAGTGATAAGAATAAATTCAAAGAAAGTGCACACGTCAAGCTGGCTCTTAAAAAAGTTTTATTATTTCAAGTTATCTTTTTGGATCTTAAAAAGGTTTTAATCCCAAGATTTCTCAAAGATATCTTTTTGAGTTAAAAATTTTTATTATCTCAAGATAACTTTTTGGATTTTATAAAGCTCTTATATATCTCAAGATATCTTTCTGAATCTTAAAAAGATTTAATCTCAAGATATCTCTCAAGATATCTCATGATATCTTTCTGGATCATAAAAAATGTGACTTTTTTGATCTTAAAACAGTTTTAATTTCAAGATAACTCTCAAGATAGCTTTCAAGATATCTCAAGACATCTTTTTGGATCTTAAAAAGGTTTAATCTCAAGATATAGCTAGAGTAATACTCAAAAGCTTGATCTGGTATCATCGTTCTTAAAGTATTACTCTTAAAGTATACTTACGTGAGATAAAGCGTTACGTCCATAACGCTCTAGAACATTCTAGAAGCAAAATTTGGGAAAAAATCGTACACTCTCACCTACTCTTGAATACCTTTCATTTAAAAAAAACCATATCTCTCAATCTTGTCTGGATCCAAAAATACACATGGTCTCACTTTTGTGGTATCTCGCTTTATAGTAGGATTCTATACGTTTCCGTTACTATAGCATAGTAGAATGGATTCATTACCCAGTTTTCTGAAAATAAAACTGGGTAATGATTCCATTCTACTTAGAGCACAAAGAGTCTGCTCGTATCTTTTGCACAGAGGCAGGCCAGGACTCTTCTAAAGTAAGCCCACTTAGAGGGAGTGAAAAATATAGCCCGCGGACTGTCTAAAGAAAAAGAAACACGGTAATTCGACTCACCCGTTTAAGAAAAATGATCAAGAAGAAAACGTTGAGCCCGACATCGATTTGCTGAGTGAGACTCTCGGACAATGGATGACAACTTTCGACTTGGAAAAAATCCCTGAAAATATATTGCGAATCATTTGGCCGCACCTGTCTTCTTTTTGGAAAATCTGGCTTACCTGCTCACGTCAATGAAGTAAAGAAGCACTGAGCCAACGGATGCCAAGCACACCAGGATCACGACGACTTTACCCATCTAAACTACTCAGACTCAGAGTACACAAAAATAGTATAGATATCGCAATAGCAAGGTGAAATTGAAAGTAGCAAAACTGAAATATAAATTAGGCATGAGATTCACTGCGTATTCTGAAAGTGTAAATCCTTTGAGCTGGATCAAAAACTGTTGACCAAAATCCATGACTAAATATTATTAAGAGATATCCTTTTCCAAATGCCAATTTCGGCAATTTTATACAAAAATGGTCCATAGTCAGGTAAGAAAATCGGAGCACGATATTGGCTGTGGTCTTTCGAGAATTATCAATTTTGCCAAATCATGTCATTTTATCAAGTTGTAATCTGTGAACTTACCCGGAACCGATCAAACACAAATACTTTATGTCCGTGAGACATTTGCGTTCTTGCTCGATCAAGCTTAGATTAAAGTGCGATAAGTTGGCAACTGTGCTTCCGGAGCCCTGACTTGTAGAAAAATAGGCTCCAAAATAGGCATTATCTTGCGCCATTTACTCTTGGCAGTAGGTCGACGAAAGTTCTGAAAACATAAGTATTAACTGATCAATGATGTTTGAAGTCTATCTCGTCAATGCATAAAAACTATTGTCGGGTTTGAATTGGCGCTCAGCCATTTTAAATCAAAGCGAACGGTTTTATACTGAAAATCATTTTTATTAAGCTAACGTCACAATCAAGCAGTTTTTCAATCAAATTTTTCTATAACTGACACATTATTTTAAAACGACGTTATAATATCGGACGGTGGAAAAGGTAATGAGAAAAGTTGGATGGGGTGGACACACAGACATCTGCACTTTAAGAAAGGGCAGGTTTAGCGGAGAGAAGTGCCCCAAGCCGCCTATATCGGAGAAAGGCTCTCAAAGTGGCCGCACCTGTCTTCTTTTTGGAAAATCTGGCTTACCTGCTCACGTCAATGAAGTAAAGAAGTCTTTGTGGGCTTTTGGAGGCTCAAACACACCGAGAAAGTGGGCCCAGAGAACAAGGATGGGTCAGACAGACAACCAAATGACAATGCCAACTCGTGGATGTGTCATACGCCAATGGTGATCAATCTAGCCATATCTCACCGCCTCGCTTTTTCCATCTCGAAGATAGAGATTCGCCCCCTTAGTATTGGGCTACGAGTAACGGAAGGGAATGGAATGAGTAAAGGGTGATCAAAAAATCGACACAACTTTATATTAGCGAATATTCACCAAAATTTGGTATTCCGTCTTCCGTTGAGTAATAGTTGTTTCCTTGGTTGTTCACAATTTTGAAAATATGCCATCAAATGAAGACACCTTACGATCCCGAAAATTATTCCGAAAATTTTGGACCCCGATTGACATAATATGATCTCCGCCAAAATTAGAGCTACGGCGGAGCTGAAAAAATAATAATACAGCCGAGGGAGAATACCACTTCGGGTACTACAAACTCGGGTGTACCAACTCGGGTACTATCTTTTTCGTCTGGCACGAGAGTGTTTTTCTCATGCTCGAAGTACCCGAGTTGGTAGCGATTTCATGAATTATTGAAAAAATTATTTTAAAAAATCCATAGGGTCCCCCCTATTGATTTTTTTACTATATAAATATGTCTAGAAATTAAAGAAAAAAATTCCCCCCCCCACCCGATAACCGGTTCCCCCCCGATGTTCGGATAGCACCAAAAAAGGTTTGATTCCGCCCGGAATCGATCCGGGGACCTTCTGTGTGTTAGACAGATGTGATAACCACTACACCACGGAACCACATGTTTGTAATGGTTGTTCAGTCGCTTATTATTTTTAAGTCATCTTTGTTCTGTTAACTTTAATGACAATAACTTGAAAGTTTTTTTTACAAACTTACTGCTGGAGCCAAATAACTTGATATTTTCAAGCAATTTTCAATGCAATATCAAGTTTGTCCAAAATAAACATTTAGGACGAAGTGAGCTTTTTGCTAAAAATTATAACCACATTTCAGACGCACATAGCGCCAATGGGCAACCAGGATTTTTTTGGGGGGTGCGTTTTAGTGGCAAATGGCCATTTCCGGGGGGGGGTGCTGGGCCAAATTTTTGAGTTTTGGGGAGGGGGAGTACGGCCCCGCTTTTTAAAATTTTTTGTTTATATGTAACAGTTTATTATAAAATGCATGACATCGCTTCAAAGTTCAATATCTTCAACAAATTCTATTTTTTCGTCGTCTTTTTCAGATCCCAAGTCGAGTCTTTGTTCTTTTTTTCTTCTGTTCTAAAATTTATTATTGAACTTTTCAATAATAAATTTTACTCAAGTTTTAAAGAGCCATATATAAGGTCAAAAAACACGGAAAAAAATTCGCTTAAAAGCGATTTAGTGTCCCGCTTTTCTCAAAATTTTCTAACGGGTCATTTACCCCAAAGCTTTCAAAAAATTCGAAAATATCCAAAGATCATCGGTAGTAACCAATCATCAGTAGTTGTTGCATTGTGAGTTTCATATTTGGTGCAACTTAGCAGATTTCCTGTTAAAAAAGTACTGATGCTTATATTTTATTTTGGGGCCGATTACAATACTGTGCTCGTCCAACAGAAATACGGTACCTGCTCAATATTTTTTACCCCTGGCGATATTTTCTGCGATCAACTCAGCACTCTCGATGTTTCAACATTCTGATTCGGCGTGATTATTTTTTCGCAGACATTGCTTTATCACTCATATTTTGGGAAGAAGTAATTCTCTCCTTTGGAGGTATTCTTCTTGGACTACTTTTGTTGGACCGCAATCTCTTCAGCGCTGCACTCTTATCAGCGATGGTGAAGTGAGAATGATTGTGATTGCGATGTTTATATCGCTATTCACTTTTTGTCTCTGCCACTGTTGGAATAAAAGTTGCCTCTGTGGGAAGAAGGTCGGTCTTGGACACGTTTTCTTCCTGAAACATCAATTGGGTGTACTCTGTGTCAGGTCGGCTATTCGGAAAGGATCGCCCTGGTGTTATAATCTCGTGACTTGAGATGTTTGGTATCTTGACGTTTTGGCAGTTCGGCTGTGCGTTTTTGTGATTGTTTGTGCAGGTAGTTTCAGGTGCGTGTGATAGATCCTTGGAATGTTTCTCTGTAGAAATTTTGGTGATAGTGCAAGAGAATTTGGTTTATCTCTTTCGATTTGGTGATCTGTAAGTGTCCCTGGGCTGTAATTGTATACGAGAAGATATTTATTGTTATTTTTCGACAACCTGATAATTTTTCAGTCATTTCCTGCAAAATTTTACCTCAAAATCCAGAACAAAAACGTTCAATTTACCTGGAACCCTTGGGTCACAGGACCAGTAATATGAGTATTTGCTTACTTGCCAACTCTTGAATTGGCTAATACACGAAACTCAGTTATATGTTCCTAGAAACAAGAGAATCTCTTCTCTCCAAAATATCTAACTTGCCCTTCAGGTATTGACCAATTCAAGATTTAACATGTAAGCAAATATTCATATCACATTTTGGATCTCGAAATTTCAGTTTTTCGATAAAAAGAAATCTTTACTTTTTCGAACCTAAAAAATTTCCGTTGATATCGATCTTCGCTCCCATGTCACTCAAGAATTCCCTAGGCAAAACCTGCGACCTTTCATTTCATCACTGAAAATAATGTGATGTTGAACATTCAAAATTTCGCGGGCGTTTTGGCTGTGACTCCGATTGTGCGTCGTTTGTGAGTCCTTTCTCATTTGTACCAAAACAACTCCGCTTCGAAGACCGCTCTCCTTTCATAACTCAGTTTGGCTTCTCGCGAAATGAAAATGTAGCGAGCCATTCTGTTGTTTTTCGATCCCGAACTATTGATTTTCTGGACGACTCCTCATACATAAACATCACGTTTTGTTACGTGTTCTCGGGGAAATCAAAGAAATGAGTCACTACTTTTATGGATTATTGACTAAATTGAAGTCCATATTAGGGATGAAGCCAGGGGTATTTCAAATTCCCTATGCATGTTCGGTTAAACCTCGATCTCGAAGTAATGCCAGGTATTCTCGAGACCGGAAGATCTCGATTTGGGCAGATCTCAAACCCACTCCTTCCCTAAATAGGAGCTCATATTATAGATGAAGCCAGAGGGCATTTCAAAATCACGATGAATTTTCGGTAGGATATCGATCTCGAAGTAATGGCCTGCGATCCCGAACCCCCGAGGTTCTTAGAGTAGTACCCTCTCCTATAATTAATGGGACTTCTCAGGATGAATCTCGGGCTAGTTCTAACCCAACAAAACTTAAAACCTGATCTCGGATGTTCTCCCACATCTCACCGTCCTCACTGATAGTATTAGTGGCATTTTTAGGGGTTGATCTCGAACGACTTTCGATTGATAAAATTAAAAAACTTGATTCCGAGTACCTTTGGATCAAAAACCCCAATCCCGGATTGTAGATCCTTAGCAAATCTGAGTGGGACTACTTGCTCCAAAGTTAAGATAGTCCTGAGATCCGGCCACTGGCCAAAATGTTCACCTCCTCACTGAAATGAGTCATCGTCTTGTTATCTTCTGATCGAGATTAGATATCAACAACTTGTTTACACTGCGCTCACTATTGCTCTTTGGTTCTGTTGATTGTATTGGTGGTGTATTTTTTTGGTCTAAACCATTAATTGCGTTCATTTTCAGATATAACTGTTCACTTGATTCAATCGGAATGTCCTCGAGATTCCTTCTTCTTATAGGTAAGTAAACTTTTGAGAAAATGTGTGAAAAATTAGACAAAAGTGATCAAGGAAGGATCATCCTAGATAATATTTCGAGGACCAGTAAAAATAAACTTGAGATATTGGAGAACGATCAAAGTTGCGAGAATCACAAATTTTTGCTAATGACGCAAATTATTAGAAAAAATGTGAAAAAATCTTACATTTTGTGCACTTTTAACAACTTATTAGCGGTTTCTGTCATATTTTAGCCCATAACTTTCCTCTTAAAATGTCACGAATGTTTTAAAAACTTGAAAAAACAGCTTAAAATTTGCTCAGCCGACGAAAATTTTGTATAATAATTAGAGTACATCCTACATGTTAGGCAGCTGGTATTTAAAGCATGTAGATCTAGAAAGATTCTGAAATTTACCTTCAAACTTACCGATTAGGAGCGGGATATCAATACTTGGTAAGAGTAAGACATAGTATCTTAAGGTTACCTTAACCTTACTTTTGGTAATACTTGGTAGGATAGGTACTAATCAGGAATGTATCATCGATTATACTAAAGCGCTGTCATTTCAGCCTCGCTCTTGAGCGTCTCCTTGGCCATCCACGTGTCAGTGAAGAATGGCGACAAAGGCACTTATTGCATCTTGCTCGACTCGGATGTGACGGGCACCGTCGACTATTACAATACTTACGTGAGCTTTTCTTCTAGACTTTTACGGACAAGACCAATTATTTTAATAATTTTTTATGCTATTTTTTAAATACTATTAAAAATAACAGTACTAAAATTTTGGCTCAGCGCCAATTTTTCGGCTGCCAACATCATTTTATCCTAAAAAATTTACGTCTTATTTTCAGCAAAACAAGACCGTCTCCTACGACTTTGCCGTGAACGGAACTGTCACGTCCAAAGGAAACTGCTTCGCTGCCGGCCATAACGAGACCGTTGAATCGATCGCGATCGACTTTCTGCCCAACGACATCACTCCAATTCCACCGCCGCAGCAACGCTGGCAGCTGCATTTGGAATTCGCCAACCCCAAAGGCCAGGAGAGATCGTTCGTCATCTCAGACTACAAATTGGTAGATATTTTTGTAGTTTTGTCATGACTAATCTTTCTGGATTTAGAGAGCTGTCTTCTACAAGAGCCATTTCAATACCAGTAAGTCGACTTTTCTGGAATAGGGTTGTAATAGTTTACAACAATAATCCATAAGACTGATCATTGACTTGCTGGTGTGTCCGATCTGTCAAGTTAGGCAGTTTTTAGCTGTCAGTACAATTTACCTGGATAATCTATCGCCTGGATTTTCGGCGAGTATGTATAGGTTACGGATAGATTTCGGAATTGGACGTAAAAAATTATTAACAATTGTTTACAACAGTATATTTTACAAAAGAATTTATGCTGACGTGTCAAAAATATTGATCCTAGGAATGTGTTACTTGAAGGTTAATAAAATAAGAAATAATAATATTAGTATCAAAATTAATAAGACTACAATTAACTAATATGGATATTAATAAGACTAGCGCTGCCTAACTTGTCAGATCGGACATTTAAATAAGTCAAGAGAATTTCTCAGAATTTCTCCGAAAATTATTTGTATTCTGCTCAAATTGATTTCAAACCTCAAACTTAGAATTTTAAGTAACCTCCATCTGCACTATACTCTGTATTAAAATATGAATACTCCCTTCGGCGATTTGTCATCCTACAAACTTTTGAAATAAAAATAATAAAAAGCTTGACGCTTCTCAACTTGTCAGATCGGACATTGAATTCAGTAACGAAAATACTATTCGACGATTTTTGTTTTGCTGTTATTTCCGATATCAAAACATTGTCGACCGTTTTGATGCAAAATTCTCAAACTCATTTTCAGCCGTGACCCAGACGACCGTGTACTATACCAAGCCCGAAGGCGCTGCGCTCGAATGGTTCGCTGCGGACACTCACGGTACTGAATTCTAATATGCTGTCTGTAAAATTCAGTGTTTGCTTTAGGATTCACCTGCTCAAAGGCTTCGCTCGCCCTGACCAATGATTCATCTGTACAGTTCGCCAATCTGAAAGTTGTGGC